AATAAATCACTTTAAGCCTAAAAATTAATTAACCTTCTATTGTCATATGTTTATTGTTTACCTCCTTTCTCAGTCATTATATTCTTAACAACTGCATTGATATTAATTATTATATGAAATTGATAACAGATCATTTGTATGTTATTTACTCAAATCGAAAGATATGTTTTTGCAATGCTGTATTAGACTGGAGAACACATTGATATGTTGCTTTCTTCCAAATTTAAGCGTAATCGAACGAGCCATTTTTGATACATGGCATATAATACAACGTATTCACACCTGGAAGTGTAAGTACTAGATGTAGTTTGATTAAAATGATATGGAACCATCTAGGTTTCCATTCCTCAAAACATAATCGAAATTTTACTAACTGTCATAGGTGGTTTGTCAGTCACATGAATATTACTACAGGCAAACAGACACGGTACCAAATTCGCTCTTTGAAGCTCAAAACGTATTTTTCTTTTTAATTTCTCTTACGTTAAAAAGCTTTTATGTTACGTTTACAAAGCCTCACCGCATTGGTTAGGGAAGAAGAAAAATTAAGAATATTCTGCTATATTGAGTATTTTTTGATATGTTCACGATATTCTTCTTCTTTAACGATTTCTTTAAACTTTATCGATCCTCGTGCTACTAACGCGAGTCCTTCAACGATTGAAGGGAGGTTTTTTTTTTTTCAATTATTTTGTAAGCTCGATGAAAATATTACAAAATTTTCTAACATAAGTTAAAGTCCCTTTCACTTGTAGGGATACCATTGCCACATGGATTTATGGCTATATTCACCCCGCATTGAATATGTGATTATATAGTGATGTGTTTTTAAATTACATCATTATTCTATTTCTGAGGTAGGCATATCCACAGCCTAGAATCGAAACTACATAAGAGAAGGCTGAAAATCCAGAAAACGGCTGTACTGCGAAATACTAAATCATACTTTTAGAGATTGATTTAGAAATAATATATCATACTGATTTATCAGATATCCCATATTAAAAACATCAAATTTCACCCTGTAAATTTCTCATTTAAGTTAAAATTGTTAATTAGTTCGATAATGATTTTGCACCTCCATTTCATAAACAAAACATTCGGTTTAGGACCAAGTTCAAGGCGATTTGGGTAATTGTCAATTTGATGGAATCTTACCTTAGTTAGAAATATAATTGTTAAGAATATAATTATTAAAAAAATATGGTGGTGGGAAGTGAACATGTAGAAAGGGTGATTATATTTTTATACCACAAAGGAGTTATTTTATTTTATATTGATTCGATTTGAAGAAATTTTCAATGACTGCGAAAATTCTGGTTCCCTTTTTATTTTGGTTATAGAGAAGAGGTGGCCCCCCAAAAGAAAAGTCTTGAGAGTTTATATTACGTATCAAAATTCTGAGTGATGATTAATATAATCAACATAATTTTTGCCAAAGGAACAATATAATACTTCACCTATTATAGAACAATAATAATAAAAGGCTTAGCGAACCCGAAGGTTCGATGCCGATACCAATGGCTTATTGCTCATCTTCCACCGGACGCCGTGGAAACCCAGTCCAGTCAGATCGTCCTTAACGCAATCTCTATACCACCGCTTCAGTCTACCCCAAGGCCAAATATTAAACCGTATAGGACTTCTTTCGTTACTAAGTCCAACTATTTTACACGCCCATTTAATTCACCGCGATGTAATCATCTCAATTATATTAATTGGATAAAATTCACGCAATTCGTCGTTGTGCAACAGTTTAAATTATTCGGTTAACTCATCTCGGTGCGAATATTCCTCGCAATACATTATTCTCAAAAACCTTAAGAAGGTTTTTCGCAACCAAAAGATATAATTTACGCCTTTACCATACAACCAACAACCATTACCATCTATATCGATATCATCGACATTGTCGCCATTTTTGCAACTTACCATGTATTTTATCTTATCCCACCCACTATATATGGAAATAAATTTATATAATTGTTATATCGTAGATATTCTTTTTTTTTAATTGAAAAATTCTTTAGACACGTTCTGCAACTTTTTTGTGGACAGTGAATTAGATTGATCCGTCAGATTTCCGAAATGTTAACGCTCTGGTAAAGTTGGCTAGAGTCGAGTAATTGAAACGTTTTACATATGGATTAAAATATCTCAGAAACTAAAAATCGGGCCTGCATACTGTAAGTGAGGAAATCGTTTAGCATTGCATCCTCTCTGTAATAGGCTGATAAAATAGTGTATATTAACCTGACGCCGTGCAAGAGAGACGAAACTTGCAAAATATTGTCGAAAACCAAATGATGACCAATTTTATTGAAGATATGGATTAATATCTCAGAAACTAAAAATCGGATCTACATACTGTAAGCGAGGGTAATGTTCAGAATTTCATCTTCTTTGTAATGAGCTATTATTTAAAATTGTATCTTAACTCGACACTGTTAGAGAAGCGAAAAGGTAAAAATAGTTTCGATAACCAAATGATAACGAGTTTTATGGAAGATATGGATTAAAATATCTCGTGGCCTAATCTTATCGGGTGGTCTAAAGCGCACACCTTAGTTTTTTTTAATGGATATATTTGAAAATATGTTAAGAAAGCATTTGAATGTGTTACATATTTTAATTTTTATTTAAAGGTTTGCGACAGTGAGATGAATTATCAATTATCTGATGCTTCATATTTGCTTCAGAAAATGTGATAAAATCTTATAGTAAAAATAGAAGAGTTGGTTTTTCGAAATATTGGGGGGGGGGGCTGAAACGATGTTCTCGCCGTCTATATATTTTTATTAGAGGACGAGGGGACGCGATCGCTCCCTCACCCTCTCCCCTGAAGTCTGTGTCTATGATTGTGAGCGTTCCGAACCGTTTATCAAATTCCGAATGCTTATCTCATATGCCAAAATTCACAATTCAGATGACATTCGAAAAGAGGAAATGCGCCGCAAGTGATGTATTAGTTGGAAGTTTTGATTTACGGAAATGACACGGAGGGGCAATGACTGAAATGTCAAGATCACCAGAACCGTCCACAACATGCCATTATGATATTACTATAATATAATAACGGCGCCGATCTCAGTATTACATCGTGAAACTCTGCATATCCTTCCTGATGATAACTAGTTGCCCGTTTGCTATTTTCAAGGAGATATCTATCATCTATCTATCATTTTTAGATTTTAGTTTGTTATTATAATTTTACTTCCTCAACTGCGGGATAAAATTTTCATTTTCTATTTAAATATATAGTTTTGACTGTATGTATAGATATATGAAAAATGTTATAAGAACACATTACACGGAATTGAAAGGATGAACATCGGATTTAATCATAAAGTTTATGGATGTGTACACGATATAGATATCCTTCGAGATCGAGGGGCATAGGGGGACTCGCTTATCTTATGATATGGGAAGCGGGACAAATCATCCTATATGTAAATAAATACATGATGAGCGTAAAAGAGAAATCGTTGCCGAGAGTGGAAACATTCAAATAATTCAGATATCCAGATAATCTCAATAGATGATTAACGGTCGAAAAAAATACACACATGAGTACCCAGTACCCTGAGTACCAAGCATTTTACTCAAACACTGACTTTTTTTAAGTACCAATGAATTTAATTACGACTTCAGTTGTTGTCAAACGATTAGACGAAGTAGTGATTTGAGTAAAATGTTTGGTACTCGGTATTCATTTGCCCATCTCTGCCGCAAATACAGCATTTTTCTTTCGTTCAATGGTATTGAAATCCCCTCAAAAAAGTATAAGTGTCTAAAGCTATGAAAAAGCCAGTTTTGACCTGGACATTAACCAGCATCCTAGAAAATATTATTAAAACATTTGAAAGAAAAACTGTACAATCATTTGAACGATCTGGGATCATACCACGTATGGAGAACAAAGGACTGCTTACAGAAAAGGACCAATCAATTTCTCATAATACGAAGGCAAGGAGGTTAAGATGAGCGGGGTGTGCTGAAAAAAGAAAGAAGGATACTGAAGTGTATCCATAAACAATGGTAAATGGGTGCTGTACGACGACATTGAAGACGTAGAGACATCAATGAAGAAAGAAAGGTTGAAGTTATACGATCATATGAAGAAGACGAACAATCCGATCTTTGACAAAGTAATAAAACTTAAGAACAACAAAGAACAGATTAAAGAAGAAATGAAAGTTCTAGGGATCAGAAAAGATGACTAACAAGACAAAGAGAATTTCAAAAAGGTCGTAAATATTCGACATTCTATCTCTCTATCTACATTTAAAACCCTCCAATTTCTATCTCAAAAATCAGATACCCTCCGCTGAACTTTTATTACATATTATTCAAAATAATTCATCTGTTTTATTGGCCGTGGGACGACCCTGGGTCGGAAGACCCTCCTGGGGCACACCCAGCCACTATAAAGTGCGTACCCATAATGTAATAATTGGTTAAGGGAAAAAACCTGGCGGTTGAGTGTGATCTCGGTCAAATCACCTCCTTGCACAACCGTTGACCTAGAAACAGTGCTTTCCCTAAATAGTACTGGACCCAAGACCATTCATGGGCTGTAGTGGTACTGGCTTTTTTTTTTCAAAATAATTCATATAATGATATATTTGCATATAATTCATCACTTAAATACTTACTATCAGATTCGTCTTCTTTTTCTTTCCCCTGCAGAAACACAGAGTTTATTACTAAAAAAAATGTAATGTATGTTTTATTTTTTTTTTTAAAGTGTATACTTATGTTTTACCACCGTACATAGTTTTAAGTATCTTGGCATGGTTTCAGGTGTTTTATATATTGATTTTTTTTATTTTGTACATACTATGTTTAATTAATATTTTCTTTATTTTTTCTCTTTATTTTTACTTTTTATGTTTGTTTTTACTTAGGCCAGATATAATACTTTAATTTTGTACTTTTTTGTTATTATAAAGGAACTTCGTCCCAGAATAAAATTATTTTCTACTCTAAATGGAAAGAAGGTTCTTGTGGTGGAAGAAGGAAGTCGGCAGAGGAACGAAGAAAGCAGATGTGGAGATGAGGAAAAAAAGAAAGGCCTTAGCCAATATTGCGCTAAGTAAGTAAAATATGTATATACATGTTATTGCCTTTCTTATATTCACCATGTACAAGTCACTCAATGCGGAATTGTGTAAATTTCCAAATTAATTTTTATACTATTAAAATTATATAACAAATTACTTTTACCCTTCGTCGTAAACCAACGACTTCGTGTCCTACAGTTTCCTTTAACAATACTCCACTTATCCCTGTTGAGCAAATCCGATACCTAGGACTCCACCTGGACAAACGACTAACTTGGAATCCTCATACTAGACTGAAACGACAAGAAACCGCTCGACGTTTCCGATTACTTCAGCACTTACTAGACAAACGCTCTAAACTTCCCATTAATTACAAAAGACTCATATACTTGACTATAATAAGACCTATTTGGACTTACGGAGTTGAGCTATGGGGCTCCACTAAACCATCAAATTCCTCTCGCATCCAATCCTTACAATCCAAAATCCTTCGTAAAATCCTCAATGCTCCTTACTTTGTCACTAATAAAATTATCCATAAAGATCTTAATGTTCCTTATGTTTCAGATCTGGCCCAATCCAGATACCTATCCTTCCATAATAAACTTCAGAATCATCCCAACCCTCTCGTTTCTAACCTTGCTTCCTCTTCAATTCCTGACAACCCTCCGAGGCGTCTGAAAAGAAGATGGCCCCGTGATCTCCTAATGTAGTCATATCATTAGAGTGCTACCATTGGGTAGTTACTCAGCAAGTGTATTCATGTCATTATATCAATTATGTCCAAATTTACTTGATGTATTTATGTAATACAGTTGTAAATGTCATAAAGAAATTTAAAAAAAAAAAAATTATATAATGTTTTCATTAAAATTAAAAGTTTATAGGAGAATAAAATAAACAAGGACTTTATGGAAATACCCATAATACGAGGACCGATTTACCCTAATTTCTAAAGAAACCGTCCTCAAACAGAACAAAAAAAAAAAAAACTGAGGTGAGAGTGAAATTGCCGAAGCCCCTCTGGCAGTTTTTACAAAGGTCGGTCTGGAGCAAATGATGGGTTGTGGCTGCCGAATACTCTGGTTTTCCCTTCTCTGGCGAAAAAAGGTTCATAGGTCTGGAAAAAACCACAGGGAGCAAAGGATTGAGGCCGAATTGACGAGCTGGTGGGAGGAGCCAATTTTTTTCTTCGTCTGGGGGCCCCTTCAACCCTCTAAGATTTATTATTGTGCTGAACCCTTTATTAATTGGGGGCGGCGGGGCAAAAAGGGGGTGAAATAACCCTTCCGCATACCTGGATCTGCAGGTAGTTCTGTCTAGTCCTACGTCTAGTCCTTTCCCGGTTCTCTTCCTTGTCTCCAGCTGTTCTCTGCAAACGGCGCTATAACTCTGCTTTATTTATTTATTATTTTTTTAAACATTAGTTTAACTTTCTTTAATATTTGGTTTCTGTTTACTATTTTATGTCTCTTTTTTATATTCAATCTTCTTATCATTTCATACTAATCCTGTTCAATTGTGTACTAGTTCGCGGTCCAGATCCTTTTTTATTAAATTATTAACATCCATCATTTCTTTCGGCATTAGAAATAATAATAGTAATAGATTTTATTGCTTATTTTTATTAATACATAACATAAAATTAGACATAAAAATTAAATTTGCAATCTGCAAATTTCTCTGCAATGAGCAAATTTTTTGGCAGCTTCACAGCCAATCCAGGAAATAGTTCAGTTCAGCAGGTCTCTTGGCCACCGCCTATGTAATCGTCGAGATGGGCTGTACGGGTTTCTAGTGATTTTAAGTTTTTCTGTCAGAGGATTTGTGTTGTAAGTTAGTCTTTGGTGAAAGTTACTGTAGTTTTATTTTTTATCTATCTATTTATCCTGTACCACTACAACCCATGAAGAGTCTGGGGTTCAGTACTATTTAGGGAAAGCACTGTTTCTAGGTCAACGGTTGTGCAAGGCGGTGATTTGACCGAGATCACACTCAACCGCCAGGTTTTCCCCCTTAATTAATTATTTAATTAAGGGTACCCACTTTATAGAGTCTGGGTGTGCCCCAGGAGGGTATCCCAACCCAGGGTCGCCCCACAGCCAATGAAATTGATTAATAAATTGTCTGCCATGAGCCAGGGTTCGAACCTGGGCTCTTTGCATTACAAGCTCAGTGCCCAACCACTGAGCCACCCCACTCCCTCGTAGTTTTCTTTTGCAGTGTCTAAAATTGTTGGGATGTTCAAGTCTCTATCGTTTGCGACATAAAATGGTGCGTCAACTATTCTTTGTAAAATTTTGGATTGGAAAGACTGGTTTTTTTTAATATTAGAACTTTTAGCAGGCTCCCACAGTTCAATGCCATAAGTCCATAGAACTATTTTACTAAATTGGTTTTAGTAAAACTTTATAGAGTGTTAGTTTGTTAGTCAAAGATAATTTTGAACGTCTGTCAAGTAACCTAGATAAAAGACCGTATCGTCTGTTAAATTCCATACGTTTTTGTCTAATGTGTGTCCTCCAAATTAGTCTTTTGTCGAGGTAAAAACCCAAATATTTAATTACATCGGATGCAGGAATTTCAATGTCTTAAAATATATTTCGGGGGAAGGGGTATGATTAAGAATGACTAATACGTACACACTTTTTCTTTCATTCATTTTAATTTTCCACCTTGTGGCCCAATCAGCAATATCGTTCAAGTGGTTTTGAAGAGTGTTGGATGCTCGAATAGGATTTTTATCTGAACTGAGGATTGCGATATCGTCAGCAAAAATAGCCAGTAGGGTGTCACTGTGTTCTGGTAGGTCAGACATATATATATTAAACAATATTGGTCCCAGGACACTACCCTGAGGTAATACTAATTTTTATTGCTTAAAAATTAGAATTTAGAAAACCATTATTATACTTACGGTTCTTTATGGGTGTGAAACATGGCCGCTTACATTAAGGGATGAGCAACGTCTTAGAGTTTTTGAAAATAAAGTATTGCGCAGAATATTCGGACTGATAAAGGACGAGCCAACCAGAGAATTTAGGCGGTTACGAAACGCTGAATTGCTTGAATTATATTTAATATTCTTGAGGTGATTAAGTTGAGGCGAATAAAATGGGCATGTAAAATCACTGAGCTTAGTAACGAAATAATTCCTAAAAAAGTAATATGCGCTTTACCGACTGGCAAGCGTCCGATGGGTAGACCAAAGCGAAGATGGGCAGATTGCGTTAAGTCTAAATTGGCAGGGTTGGGTATAGATGGTGGATGGAAGAATGTGGACATCGATTGGTGGTATCGGCATCAAACCTTCGGGTTCGCTAAGAATTATTATTATTTGAGAAAAAGTTGATCGGGGGAAGGAGGGGTGAGGTCAAATAAATACTAAACTATACATATTGGTAAAATTTGTTTAGTTAATGATGTACTAAAAACTCACGAACACCTATTTGTTTTTCAGTAATCGTAAAATTATTTTTTCATAAAATCATGAAAAAAAAAATGAATAAAACTGTATAGTCCCCAATATAGATCCCTTTTTATATAATTGTTGACATCCATCTAAGACTTCGTGCTATTCATCACGTACAGCTTTTTTATCTACGAAAAATCCGAGAAATGGGCCGTTTAATGAGGTACTAAAAACTCATGAATACAATTAACTTTCTGATTAAATCATAATATAATTTGTAATAAGAAATTATTTTATAACAAGAAATAAAGAAAGTGGCCTATGACAATATTCAGCCGTTTTACATGACCTGCAATCCCACCAATATGTCAAAATAATCAGATTTGATAGAACGAACGGCACAATATTTTTGTAGGCCACTTTTTTTTCTCATTTTTTAGTTAATTAAATAAGTAGTAAAAATGTCCCATTTCTGGGATATGGGGTTGTCATAACATCGAAAATTCTCAGAAATGAGGCGTTTTCTATAAAAATTAATTAATTTAATTAGACATACAAAAAAAAAACTCCCGAATTCTTATTTGCTCTCTACTCGAAACGTAAGATAATTTTATCACAAAATAGAAAAGAAAGTTGGCCTACAAAAATATTGGGAGATTTGGCAAATATAACTTCGATATCTTGTCATGTTGAGTGCAGAAGTCACGCCAAACAGCCTAATATTTGTTTAGAATATTCCTAGGGTCTTATGATCTCGCGATCGATTTCTTTTTTTTGACCATTATGAATCTGTTGACCTACAGCACTCACCCTACAAAGAGGAATCCAACAATAATGAAAGCCCCACACTGGATACGCAGCAGGAGCAGTCACAGTAATTCATTTCGTGATATTAGTCTGGAAGAGAAAGCACGTCTGGAAATATTGTTCTGTCCAGCGCACGCACGCAAGGTCCTGGCGGGGTATCCTTTGAACTGAGGATGAAATTGAGGACGAAATTATTCTTGTAAAGAATTATAATTAGAAATATTAATAAAAAAGTATACAAATAAAAAAGTTAAGCTTCCTCATCATTTTTGTTGGGTACAAAAGAAAATATGCGTTTACACATACACTTAGCGAAGATTGACTTTATATTTTTATTCATTTATTAACTATATAAATAAAATAGGGTAAGTAAATAGACGATAACAATATATTTTTTTTTTGGAGGAATAAAATATATTCCAATAAATCCCACCAAATTACCTCTACCCTTCATTGCAAACCTAGGACTTGCTGCTCTACAGTATTGTTTAACAATACTGCACTTATCATTATTTAACAAATCGGTTACCTAAAATACATCCGGACAAACGTCTAACTTACAATCCTCATACCAGAATGATACGACAACGATCCGTTCGACGGTTCCGACTACTTCGGACTTAGTAGACAAACGCTCTAAGCTTTCAATTAACATCAAAAGACTCATATACATAACTTTAATGAGACCTATTTGTTTATATGGGCTCCACTAAGCCATCGAATTCCTCACGTATCCAATCTTTACAGTCCTTCGTAAAATCCTCAATGCTCCTTACTTCGTCACTAATAAAATCATCCATAAAGACCTTAATGTTCCTTATGTTTCAGATCTGGCCCAATCCACTTACCTATCCTTCCATAA